CAACACAATGAATTAGAAGGATTTACATGTTTTTCAGCAGAACTAGGACTTCACTCACGAGCTGGTCTATACTCTCCTTACAGTGCATGGCAATATTGGAGCAGATCAAATGCAGCCATAAGGTATTACGAATCCCTTCACTGATTAGCATGAAGACATCCCCCATGGCAGTCAGGACACTTGTTTACGTATTGCCCATTCAGAAAAGCTGTTTTAGTCTTCTCATGCTTATTTTATAGTCATAAAACTACTGTGACAGAAGATAATTTAGGCAGGACTGAGGTCTCCATGCATTACTGTCTGACAGAAGGGTTTATTAACCATTCAGTGCTGATTTACATATCCATCTGTCCAGGTATTTATACCGTACTAATTTTTTTAAAGGACAATCACTATATGTGAGTATCTGTTTCTGTTACACCCTACACAATGTTACAGAAGAGAGCATAAATTACTTGCTGCCACTGCTTTCCCACAAGAAGCATCTTGTTTTACACTTGAGATAGCAAAATGGCCATGAATCACAGTAACACCAAACTACCAAGAAGAAGCTGCACCTTTTTGCCCTCTTATCTGCAGTATTTCTGTGTCAGGAGTACTGCTGAAGGAACTGTTGCTAAGAGGAAGCTTTGGGAGCTTCATTAATCTGTGTGAGAATGAAAAAGGTCAAAGAACTTAAGCGAGGTCAAATTCAATCGCTAACAAAGATTCTGGTTCCTAACAGCATTGTATTGCTGTATTGCTAAAGAAAGAAAAACAAAAAGTTTAAGGTCAAGAATTCACTACGAAACACCTGAAAAAGCAAGAAGTCACCAGGTAGCAAACAAAAGCCAGTTTCCACAGCAGTATTTGTCTATTTCATATGCTCAAGCTGTGCAGGTTTTCATATAGTTTTAGATTCTAAAGCTCCAACCTGGTTTCGTAGGAGTTATTACAAGCTTGAGAGTAGAACAATCAGCTGTAGAATACTCCCATCAGATTCGGACCCTATACCTTGAATGCCTTGAAGACATGCATCTGACCAACCCTGTATGCTTCAACAAGGGTGGGAACCAAGAACAGACCAACCAGCAACTGCCATTTTCCACTGACTGACAAGAAGTAAAATGAAATACTTATTTCCAGGCAACGATAATGTGAATAAGTACATCTTAAAATATTCATCTTCCACAATACTCTCTAGCCAGCTTAAGAACTCCAGTATTGTAATTCTGCCATCTCAAACTGACACATACCACAACCATCTCTGGGAAGATAACATACTAAATATAGTCCAAAGTGAAGAGAAGCTGAAGTCTTTATAAAGACACCTTGATTAATGTGACATGACAGCAACAAGAAGATCTAAAGAAACTTCTACCTTGTAATTCCTTGCCATTCAGAATGAGTGAAAAGCTAGTAAAATGAAGTTGGATACTTGTCCACAGAACAAAAGACCATGAAGAAAAATTGTTACAGAGAAACTACACATTGATAAACTAGGAATTAATCCAAGAGACTAGGTTTTACAGAACATCAGATTCTTGATTTTGGTAGAATCCATGGCTTTGTGGCTTCCATACTGCTTCTAGCATGAACTGTATCCACTAAGACTCAGTAATGATGGCATCTCAGCCCACAAGCATCAAGCTCTAATTCCCCCGCCACCAGCTCAAGGCAGTACCAATAACCAGTAAAATAAGGTAATAATTTGCAGCTTTCAAAATAAAATTTAACTCAACTATGTACACGTTAATCTGGGCTACCAATACACATTCTTAGTATGTTTACTTAAGATCTACTTCTTTGGAATTTTTAAAATAACCAAACCTCAGCTCGAAGACAACCAACTGTACAGTGCTATCATTTTTTTTTATTGCTCGATACTTTTGTATTGGCAATAGAAAAGAGACATTATGAACTAGCACAGAACATACTGAGTTCTGATTTATGTAAAAGTTAAGGTTTTCTTTTTGAAGAACAGTCATCCAGTGGGGACAATCCGAGAGAAAGGCCTGCACTGACAGTGACTACTGCTCAAAACTTCTTATGCAAAAGGAAGGACAAATTAAAAGAGGAATGAGTGGCAGGTAGAGGAACTAGAGCACATGTGTACTGCCCCTGGGGCTTGATTCATTTACCTTCTCCTGTGAGTAAACAGAGACACACACAGACTTCAGAGGCAAAGAACCAAGAAGAATAGCTACACCCTATAAGCTGCTCTCAAGCTTCAAGGTTCTCACTGCAGCTTCAAGTATTTCACTGCAGAACAGCTTCAGAGACCAGCAACCTACAGCTAGATATTTACCAAACAGCTACTTCATTTGTCAGATGGTGCTCAACTAGCGATGCAGGGTGAATTATTCTATCAGAACAGGGAATTCTTCATAATAACACATAAAACTAAGAAAGGCACTGCTGGTTAGCTAAGTAATCATTTCTGCCCAGTTCCAATTTCTCTTTGCCCAGACCATAGATAAAAGTAAACTCTCCACCATCCAGACACTACAGATTCACCATACAAACTCGTGCCATGACAGCAACATCCATTAACTACCAAATATACAAAGGTTGATCAAAAAGTAATGCATTCTACTTATTCCCATGGAAACCTCAACAGATAGAAAGAGCACAATAACTCTATTTGATAGAGTATATCTTTGCTACTTTAGCCAACTTGCACAGAGCAGCAGATCAAGATGCTCTTCATTTCGTGGTCTGACATCTGTGCAGGGGTGTCCCTAGCATGGCTTGTCTTTCACATCCCTATTGCCACTGCCGAAACACACCACTCACTGCCTCGCTCTACTCACATCCAAAGGTTGCTCTCCACAAACTTCCAGCAAGCGTCTGTGAATGTCAGCGGATGCTATCTTTGGAAGAATTGGATAGAAGTGGATGGAAGAATTCAATGCCACACCTTCACTTCATTCACACTTCCATGTCAGATGGCATTTTGTCAGGGTGCCCCTCATGCTGCCATCTATCACACAGCAACAACATGGAATGGGATATTGGTGGGAAGGTTCAAGCTTTACTGTCATACCACTGACATGTGCCCTTGATCCTGTGATTCAACATAATAAAATAGGAGGCATTACTTTTGAAGCAGTCCTCACATGCACGGATGCATGATTATCAGCCATTTCCCAACTAGCTTCTAAAGGGCTCGATTTTAAGACCTTAGCAGAGTATCAGAAGACTATTTTGATAACTGCAGTGTTAAGATTCTAGTACATGTTGGTCTCAAAATAGCCCAAAATCCATAGGGAACTGCATTTAGATGCTAATTCAAAACAGCGTTTGAAAGAAGACTCTGAACATCAGCAAATGCCCAATACATAACTGCAGGTCTACAGGCTTGGTACAGGCTTAGATGTGCTCCTCCAAAATTGCATGGCAGGGGGGGCATCAATAACACACTCAGATTTCTAGTTATCTCCATCTTGTTAAAAGTGAGTCTGCAAAGGAACACTGTTGCCATACCTCAATGTGTATCATCTGAAGGGTCCTCAAAACACATGCCAACAACTTTTGCTGTCTTGACCTCAGCGCTAAGACATCACCCTGAAGTCATCACAAAAATATCTTTGCATAATTTCTCCAAATATTTTTGTATAGTTTTTCAGTATTCACTCTTTTCACCACTCTGTACAGATATCAGTTTGCTCATTAAGAAACTGCAGCACTCACACACCAGCAGCAGTCTGGGTTTATTATAAATAAACCCATTAAATTATAAATACTGAGTTTATTAAATGGAGGGAGCTTTTAATCTTTTTTTTTTTTTTTTTTTTTTTTAAATCAAATATTTGTTTTCAGAAAGCTCTGTTAGAGGAAAAACAGCACAACAATGCTTATTACTCAACAGTTCCCAGTATTTGCAGTAAGCTACACCTAAACAACATATCTGCAAATAATACTGGATTTAAATAAATGTGCTTTTCCATTATTCGAATTTTAAAACATGAAAAATTCTATGCCTGTTCAGCAGCTTTAAGGACAAAGCCCCCAAACGGTGCACTACCATTCAGCCTTTTGCCAGGCTTTCAAAACATATGACCACTTCCCTGAAGATGCAGATGGCTGCAAGTTTGGGTTTATTCTGCACGGACTTTTTTTTTAAGTGGAAAATAAAAGCTAATGACTAACGAGACGTTCCTTTTTACATCTTGCACGGTGAACGTTCCCTGCTGACTCGGTGTGATGGGAAACAGCTGCCACCACCACCACAGTTAGGTTCGTACATTGGAGAGTTCCATGTGCCTTTGACAGCTGGAGGAGCGATGCACCTGCAGCTCCACGTTACTGCACTATGCTAATTTCACATCCAAATTCCTGAATGACCAAAAAACAAACGACTCGAGTTGTAACTCCTATACCCTGAGCTATACAGCAGTCTCAGGAAAGCAGTGTCCTACTGATGCATTAAAAGCCTGCCTCCTTGCAGTTACCCAAATCACGTCGTGCTTCTGCTGCTTTGGAACATGGACGAGCTTCCACTCCATCCAGAGGTTAGCAGGCAAGCACCGCAAGCAAGCATTATTTCATCATTTCTCTGTACAAATGCGAGACTGCAAACGTGGAAAGTTTCCACAGGTATCTATGCCACTCTTATGTCTCCTAGATTAGATGCAGCTAGTTTTGTTTCAAAGAATTTATTCCTTCCCATCTGCTTAAAATTTCGGGTGGATTTCCCCACGTATTTGGGGGACGCGCTGTGAAGCAGGTCTCTTGAGAGCCTTCCTCACATGTGGGCACCTTACACGCTCCATATCCCCAGAAGACTCCAGGAGAGCTACAACGAGTCCCGGCCGCGCTGCAGCCTCCCCGCCACATCGCCCGCCAGCGCCGAACAAGGACAGATCCGGCACTCGGCGCGCTACGACGGACAGAGCCCCGCACGGCGCTCCGCAGCCTCGCTCGGCGCCGACGGCAGCGGCACCCGCTGTCCTCTCCGCCCGCCCCCACCCCACCCCACCCCGCCCCGCCGCAGCCCGGCGGCCCCGCGAGGTGCTTACCCCATGGCGGCCGGCAGCGCCGGGCACCGGCGGTGCCGCGCGGGCCGCGTCCCCGGGGCGCTCCTCGCCGCGCCGCGCCTCGC